AAATCTTCCAGTTTTAGGATTTCAAGATTATTTGATTCTTGAATATCTACGATAGCATGATCAAAGTGAGAGGTCAATGTACGCATTACCTTCTCAACATCATCTTACCAGTAATATTTTCACCACAACTTTTCATGAGATGAACAAGATTTTACACCTTCGACACATAGCCTGTAATTTTTTCTTCTTCTTCCATATGCAGTAATTCATACTTTCTTTGTAGTGTCTGCAACTTAAAAGTTTTAACACTCTCACCTTCATCATAATACTTGACAAAAATATCTCATATCTCCTTTGTCGAATCAACATGATAAATCTGATCAAAATTTGTCGCATCTACTGCCGACTGGATACAATATGCATCCTTACAGTCTTTCTTATTTGCATCCTTGTGAATGATTCTCTGAGCATCAGTTGAATTGTCAGCAAGCTCAGGGACGCCATTATTACCACATCTAGGATTTCATGGAAACTAAACAAAGATTTCATCTTCTTACTCCATCAGTTCTAATTTTTACCGTCAAGAATTGAAAGAAAATTTAGAATATCATTTGTACCATTCATCTCTGTAGCTGCTCCGATTCACGGTCCCTGAAAACAAGACTACCAACGTAAAATTCTTAAAAACACGATTAAAAAACGAACGAGAAATTCTATATACCAATTTAATAGTGTGTGAGGCACTTTAAATAACAAAAGGAATAAGAGAGAATAAAAAGTAAGAATTGTTATTATTGAAGATTGTTAAAAAATAAATTACAATGTGTATTTATATACCACTAAGTGACTAACATAACAAAAGGTCATATAGGAGCTCATGCAAAAGGTCAAATAATGTCATATACTAAGTAACTAACATAGTTACTTATATACTAAGTAACTACCATAACAAAATGTCATATGCAAAAACAACTAAAAATAGCGTTCAAGAGAATCTTACATTCGATTCATGAGTTGATAGAAAAGCCACACACAAAATGCACAAAAAATCAACTCAAACAAATCATGTTTCGATACAATGGTAGAAAAAATTAAACAAGTATGAATTGACTCAAAATAAATATGATTTCATTCTTATGGATTGACTAGGGGACTAGGGGAAAAAAGTTTGATTTACTATAGTTATAATCTATAATGGTTTTGCTATTGATTTACTATAGTTATAATCTATAAAACACAGACACTCATATGGTTTTGCTATTGACACAACATCATAATAATTTAAAAAAATAATAAATTAAATATAATCATAAGTATTATGTGTCCGACATCGACAGAGACGCGCCTATTTACATTACAGAGGTGTTGGTGCTAACACAAATTCTATACTTGACAATAAATTGCAAAGTGTTACACAACCAAAAGTTCAATGCTTTACTTAATCGAAACTTCATGAATCAATAATACAAAGGCATATTTGAGACCTTATTTGCTTATTCAAAACTGAATGATGTAATATGATACTAAATCACAACATAACAACTAATAGTACATCTACCTCCACAACAGAGATCAATTACAAAAACAAGGTTACTGAGTAGCACAAATTTTATGATTATGATCATAACAAGAATACATGCTGAATATTTTGGATAACTATTTTGCCTGCTATAGAATTCTCTTCACTCTAGGGCTGTGTAGGAGATGGAGATGTTGGAGGTTTGAAATCTGGATACTGCATGTCGCGAAAAAAGCAAAGTAAGAATATAAAACAAAGAAAATTGGCAACAACAAGCATATATAATCGGCATCGAAGTGAAAAATTCAAAAGAGTGACGGAATAAGACATTACATATGGGTATGGTGAGAGCGGTTTAGGTTGCGCAGGAATTGATTCTGCCACAGTTTCAGTTTTTGGGACTGAGTTTATTTCTGGAGCAGGTTCTGCTGCTGCTTCTACTTCGGTCTCGGAGATAACGTCAGGAGGAGTAGCTTCGGGTTTCTGTATGGTCTCAACAATATCGGGAGTAGCTTCTGCTTTCTGTACGGGCTCGACAATATTGGGAGTAGCTTCTGATTTCTGCGCGGTGGCACTAGCTGTAGGGAGCTCTGGAACAGTTTCTGTTGGTGCAGGAAGAGCCTTATCGCTGTTGGTGGAGGTTGGTAGAAGAGCCTTTCCGATGTCCTAATGTTTGCGGCCATTAAATTAAAAGAGAACAATGTTAAAAAGGAAGGGAAAAAAAGAGAGTCGCACCACATAATCGAAAAAGCATAGCATCATAGTTACTACTGAACTGTTGAGATGTAGTTCGTGAAAAGTTTCGAGTACCTTTATTTCATCAACAAGCTCCTGAGGAGCAACTTTGGTGTTCAAGAACTCGTCAACTTGTTTTAGTGTTTTCTTCCGGTCCTGCCGGCCATCAGATCAACATTTCAACATCGCATTGTTTAACAGAGTCTATGATAATAAACAACATAAATTCATCTTGCATAGAAAAACAAAACTCACCTCGGCAAAAAGAAGCTTCTTGCTTGCAAACTGAACAATTGCAGCAGATCCTACAAGTTGGAGAATTGTTTCTACCTACAAGTAGAGTAACATCGCCGAAATATGTGAGTAGAGTCATACCATAGTGTATTGGTTATTGCATATTGCGAAAAAGGCAATAACTCATTATATCAACCTCAGAAAAAGCTAATGCACCCAATCCCGTAGCTGCAGCAATCCCAAGAGTGACAACCAAGCCATCAGATTCCTTCAATAAACAACTATTAATCAGAAACACTGAGAAAACAAAGACTTCTTTCTCTCCGACAAAAAAAAAGTTCTTTCTTGCTTGCAAAAGTTCTCAATCTGAGAAAGCTAACACTAATAGTAGTATTTTACATGTGCATAAACACTGAATATTACGATGGCAAATATATAAACCCAAGATACATACTCCAATTGCTTCATTGATAGTATCTGTCAAGCTTCCAAAATTAAAGCTCAATGCTTTCTTTGGTTCAATCCAAGGAAGACCACTATTCTGCATAATTCAAGACAATGTGAGTGAGTGAGTGTATTGACGAACATTGAAAATATTCAGAACTAGGATTATGATAAATATGAAAAACAAAAAATAGGAAAAGGAAGATAATTACCACCCATCCCCGTGGTCCTTCTGCGCCATCCTTAATTGCATAAGCAGATTTAAATCCATTAAGGGTGACTAATTCTGCAACCAGTTCAGAGTTCCCGTCAAATCTGGCTTCCATCACAAGTTCACTCAATCAGCTTCAAGCATATTGTTTTACAAAGTGCAAGAAGAAACAACAAATTTATGTAATTAACTTTCATCACATGTTAAATCAGAAACCACAAATTTGTGTTCATGATTTCGCAATTTCTTCCCTACACTCTTTGTGAAGCTATACCATGAAATTATATAATTCTCACAGGGGATATTCTTCAGTCCGTAACACATTGTCGAAGACGACAAATCATTCACAAGCACAGAAAAATAACTTAAAATTGAAGCTTTAAATGTAATTTATGTTTTTTTCCTTCTATTTTCCTTAGTAAATGGAAATACCTATATATATACCAGATTAATTTAAGAGAAATGGCCATTTGAATGCCTTAAACAACTGACACAAAAATCTTTAATTGCAATTGTAATAACTAGAAATTGACACACACAACTGCTAGATCACGAATTCGAACCCAAGAAGGGTGTATGGCTAACAATATCGGCACTTATCAATTGAGCTAGGCTTGAATATTTTATTTCAACCCTTACAGTTTTTTTCTTCATGTTTTTAAAAATACATTCTTCCTAAGTCCTAACATGTATTTCATCTGTTAAAAGGGTTTGAATCTTAGTGTTAAGAAATATGGTTGGGCTTAACTCAACCTTACAAAACCGGCTTGTAGGGAGAAGATTGTCTCTAAACACATGTTTAGGCCATATGTTATGTTATCTGATGTGAGACTCTTAACACTCCCTCACGCCCACGACTAGACATATGGACCATGGAAATAAATAGTGAGTGGTCTGATGGCGTCTCAAAAGATTACTCGTAGTGCCCAAACACATATATACGTTAAGCGGCCACGAATCTTAGCAATGTGAGACTCTAACATGACTTCAATACCTTCTTCTCTCTATCACAATTATTTTCTACATGAATCTTCCATCTCCTTGTTAATAATTTAAAATGAACACAAATATGAAACTGAAAAATGTTTTTAGAAAGTAAACAGACACTAATATACTACAACCTTAGCATGAATCACAATTGAGAAAAAACCAAAATTCTTCAAATAAAATTGATCTTTGTTATACTTACTTGTCAAGAATGAACAATGTAGTATTCTCAGGGTCCTTAAATTTCAAAGAAAGCTTCTTCAAAAACCCTGGCTTATCATCACCTTTATAAGCTATCGACACCGATTTCTTCTTCAAACCCCCAACATTTGGGCCACCAATTTGCCTAATCTCAGCCAAACCTCTTATATCAAGCAACTGAGCATTCCCATCAGCCCCTAACTTAGCATAAGCATTTTTAGCTGATTCAACTCCCCAAGGCTTAGGTTTCTTCAAAATCTGAGACAAAACCAATGGAACTGCCAAAATAGCAACTCCACCAGCAAGAATTGCAGGATTTTCAGTTACAAAGCCTACCACGCTATCTACAAAACCATTGACATCAATGTCACCACCATAGTTTGAAGCACTTGGAGATAGTCCTAATGCTTCTTCATATGTTAAAGCTCTGGCAAATTCACCATGGTTTACATTGACATTCACAACTGAAGTTGCTGCAAGGATTAGACCCTTTTGTAAACCCTTTGATAGAAACTCTTTTAGGTTGTGTTTTCTGGTGTTTGAAGTGGAAAAGTTTGAAACTTTGCATGAAATTTTGGTGGGTTTTTTTGTTCTATCAGATAGCACGGAAAGGGGGGTGAAAACAGTAGAATTGATGGCCTCCATAGCATAATTTAAATTTCACAGAAATTTTGTGAGGCTCTCAAAGTTTAGAACTTTTATTGAACTATCATATGAGAGTTTAGAAGCTCAAAGGGTTGGTGTATTGATATCTTGATGATGATGATGATTTTGTTTCTTTGTGGAATGAGTGGCAAAATGGAGAAGATAGAAAGAGAGGTGTAAAAAGGTAAGAATGTGTTGTTTTGGTGTGATGTAGAAGTGATGACATGTCAAGGGATATATGAGGAAGGCTAATGGTTGGTTGACACGTGGAGAATGAAGATGAGATGTGGCTGATGAAGATTGAGGTGAGGTTTTATGGTTTGAAATTGTGTGGCTATGAAAATGTTTTGTTTGAAGAAGAGAAGTGGTACTAGTACTAGTCTTTAGAAAGTGCGGTACAATGTACAAACATCTCGATGAGAACATGGCTGTTGATTTCAATCACATATAATTTTCTTTTACCTATCTTCCGAATACTATTAAGAAAGAAAAAATCAAAATTATAGTTAAATTGAAAATATGTTTAGGTCAATAGATACAAGAGATATTTTATAAGAATAGAGAAGAAAATATTTTAGAATAATTTGTGTTTGGTGGAAGAAAAAAAATTAGAATTTTTTTTAGCAATAATCAAGTATTAAAAAAAATACATAAATAATTATGTTTCATATAAAATTACGTAAATAACGATGTTTCAGAATATATATCAATGGAGACGTCATCTCACTTGGTGCATGCACTTATCTTTTTGTCTTAGGCGACGTCTCACTTGACGCATGCACTTTCTTTTAATCATGTGAAATGACGCATGCACTATAATATAGGGAGGAAGCGCCATTTGAGATGACTACTACGTGCAATTGTGTTTTCTATAAATAAAACACTCATTTCTCTATTATTTTTCACACTTTCTCACATTCTCTTATCATTTTCTCTATGTTTTTTACATCATGACATCTCTCATGATTTTCACCAGAGATGGGTACGTTAATATCAAACCTCCGATGAAAATGAAATTTTGGCACATTCACTCCATGGAGCGTCTGAAGAGAGAGTTGATGTGATGGCTAGAGGGAGACATCGAAGTTGGAGAATAAATTAGAAGGATCCAGGGAAGAAGAACAACCACCTCACTTGCAACTGGAAGACCTCAATCTTGGTTGGACAAAGTCAAAACAGACAGAGACGTAATGGTGATGATGCATGGCTAAGATGAAATTGTTTTGACGGTTGTAATTTCTTATATGTTTTATCGTATTGTTGATGTTATATTTACATGTTATATTTTATCGTGACGGTGGTGATGTATTTTTATTTGTTGTTTGCGTATGGTTTGTTGTAATAAATGCTCTTAATAAAAAAATTTATATTTAGATCTTAAAAAAATGCAGATAGCTTGCATACAATTTTTACGTTGTCGAGTTTATAGCACGAGTGGGACAACATTTTCGATTGCGTCCGACCTAATGGCATAAACCACAGTTTCTTTCTAGCTTGTCAAGGGAGTCCATTTCAGTTGTGATACGCTTGCTTTTGGAACGATCCTTTTTATTCCTTTGCATTTGATCGCTATTCCATCTCTATATGAATTCGTCTATAAATATGGCGCCCCAGACACTTGTTTTGCATCACCAATCATCACTCTCTCTGATACAAACTCTTTCAATCTCTTATATAATTTCAAATATGGTTATTCTCACAATAGATGATTCTCACAGAGGAACAAGACAAAATATTGTCGCGTTTGTAAGTTTTTATCATTTTATATATTCTTTTATCATATATATAACTTTTATAAAAAAAATTGGTTGCACTTTCTTGCTCCAAGCATGGGATTGGTGGAGAATAGAGTCCTTAAATCCCGCCAACAACAATGCATTCATTTTCCCCTACGTAACAAAGTAAGTCAATAGCTAAAATAATTTATTATTCATCCTTTCAGCAAATAGATGTATAAATTTATTTATTTTTCATTCCTTTAGGTACTGTGTAAGGGGTATGGATTACAGCAAGAATCCAAGATTCAATATCTCTCTATACCATAATCTTTTGGATCATGTTGGCCCGGATGATGTACGTGGTACGTCTAAACTTTTCTACGTTTAAATTATTTATTTTTAACGTTTTCGTTATTCTGATTAATTTTTATCCACAGTTTATCTGGAGACCATATTTGGGTTTGAACCATGAACCCAACCCCGAGGATACAACAGTTTGGACTACAAAGACTGCAATCATACGGTTCAACATTGTGAAGATGCACCACAATGACCGTGTCAAGATGCAGTTCGAAATGCATCAAGAAATACCATGCGATCCAACTTGTTTGTCACCTTGGCATCTCAAAAGGGTCGACGCCCAATGGGGTGTTAATAATTGGAAAGATTTTGCTCTTGAATGGTGTAAGATATGGTATAGGCGCCACCAATATGTCTTACAATTTCCTATTTTCCATAACCAGATTAATATACGACACGTAGATTAGTATATTGATTGGTACAGATCGGTTACTAACCCTGAAATGCACGTGTCTCACCCGAGGTATTTGACCGACTCACACACACAAAAGGCACAATCGTAAACCACACAACAACAACCCTAACAATAAACCCAACACACATCAACCTCCCCCCAAACACAACGACGATACAGATCCACCAGAACCCAACCCCAAACCCAGGACCAATATCAATACACACACATGCCCCACACACAATCACAATACCAAGAATAACGACCATACATCCGACATCCTGATGTGGGCCCCTCGTTGTCTCACCTTAGCCCAGACATTGGCCAATCTGAAGAATACTCATCAACCAAACTAACTTACCATCAGTCATCCTATCACCATAGCCCCTAACAATCACATTACCAAATCCCATAAGATTCATTTTCTTTTTACCCCCTTATTCATACGACTAGTACTATCGACCCCCCATGGAACCTCACCCCAAACCAATACGACCAAACTTTGAGGGCACGAGTAACCAACTGTTTGAAAGCAAATCTTCTGAATATGATGATCTTACGGGTTTCATGGATCCCTGACACATTGACTTCACAGGGCCCTCGACCCAGCCACAATAGGAAATACGTCGAAATGCACCACGAGTTAGGCGAGGACGCGGGCGTGGAACTACTGGTCATTATCGAGTCCCTGGAGACAACTAAATAATGTGTAATTTTTATTCTCATTATGTAATTGTTTAATTATTATTGAAAATCAATTTTCATTTGCAACGACATTACCTTTTAATTCCCTAACAAAAAAATACTTTGTACATAGGCATCGTCTAAGATGGCTTAGGGAAAATGGCATGCACCTAGGCGTCATCTCACTTGGCGCCTCCTTTAAAAAAAGAAATACATGCGCCATCTAAGATGGCTACTGCTTTATAACGTTTTTTGAAACATGGTTATTTGCGTAATTTTCTCTAAAACATGGTTATCTGTGTTTTTTTTTTCAAAACGTAGTTATTGCAAAAAAAATTCAAAAAATTAATTAAGGAAAATTGTAAAATTACATTATTTAATTTTATAATGTTTAATGTATATTAATAGTTTGCTTGATTTGCGAAAATATAAATAGTAGACAATGTTTTCTTTTGAAATCAGAATTATTGATTCATATTTTTGATAAGTTGTTCAATTATTCAAGTTTTATTTATGTATTTTAATTAAAAATATAAAATACAATGATATTCAATATGATATCCTTTTAAATATCAAGTCATCTTTTTGAATTCAACACTATGTTATCCAATGGTATTCAATTGAAGACAATTGTTTGAAGATTCTTCAGTGGTTCGGTCTCTCAAGTCTCTTATGGTGGTAATCAACTTGAAGACATTTAAAGCCCCATCAATCTAGAAGATTCAAAGATCTTGTGCGATGCTAAAGTCATAGATGATAATCCAAGATTTGAAGCTTCAAAGTTGTTAAAAAAAGGAAGTATGAAAGCTCATTTGGTTGTGTTTGTCTGGGTGACCAGTGTTTGTTGTTGTGGTATAGTAGCAAGTAAAAGTAAGTATTTAATTTTATCTTCTCCATAGAGATTAGTGCGATATCAATTTCGTTCAATAGTTAATATTTTTTTAAGTTTGTGTTTGCAAGGGTTTTGAAAGTTTAAAGTCACAGAAAGTAAAAAATTTGAATGATAAACAAAGTTTTGGAGAGATATGAGAACTTCCAGGATTGGATTTCATCCACCAAAATAATATACAAATTTATCAATCAGTTGAACACAATCTAAACATTTATCAATAACATCACGTATTGCTCACAACAACGTTTATGTCTAAACATCTTATGAGATTTGAACCTTTTAATTAACGATCTCTCATCATATTAAACAATTCCTACCTTATTGTTTAATCGATGATTTCTCAGCCTATTAAACAACAAGAAGCATTAAGATTTGATGCTCTATGTAAATGTTAGCATAAATCTATGTCTAGCATTTATAATCTAACCGATGGTCATCTTAGTTTGAGTTTTAAACCGTATTTCTCAATAGCAATCCAAACCCATTAAGATAAATAGCAAAACAAATATAACATCAATATAGATTCATAGATAGATTGTATACAATTTCATGATCAATAAAAATACATACTAAAACAGTAAACTTACATCCAATCCCATCAATAAAGGGATTTAATTACCCATGATAATTAAATACAAAGAGAAGAATGAAGAAGAACAAGCATTCACCGCAATTTCCCAATGATTGATGCAAACCCCGACTCCAATTTCTCAAGTTGCACCCTCCCTTGTATTTTTATCAACTCGCACACTCCCAAACCCTAAAAATATGTTGGAACCCCTAAAAAAATTATTTATGCCCTATTTACATAATTTTTGTTCAAAAAAGTTCTCCCGGCGCCCAAAAAGTTGGCCCAGAAAAATGCCATTTTTTCAGCCAAAATGTCAGCACAAAACACTTAAATCTCCCTGGGAAAATATCTAAATTATATCGGCGACCAAAGATTCTCCCGACGAATTCCTCGCTCCAGCCTCACCCAGTGAATAAGACAACTTTTGTCATTGGAAAGTTACTGACTTGTGCTCGCCCTTTCCTCACCTTGGGCTCGCCCGACAACGCCGCCCCAAATTCTCCCCTGGCTCACCCGATGAAATAGTTGACAGAAAACTTCTTTAATTTATGTGTTTCTTCCTTGGTTTAGCTCTTCTTCTATTGGTCTGATGCAACACTTTTCTGTTCAAAAACAAATAAAACAAAGAAACCACAACCAAATACAATTAACGTTATACACAAAGCAAAACTTAGGGAATTCGATGATCGGAAACGCAAAATGGAGCCTAAAAGTGCCAAGTTTTCATGTGGAAATTTAGTCATATTTGGCATTTATCAAACTCTCCCCAAC